GGGGGGCGGGGCCGGACGGCAGCCGAGGGGCGGAGCCGGGGCGCATGCAAACCCCGAGGAGGAGGAGGAGGAGGAGGAGGAGGAGGAGCGACACGGAGGGGGGCGTGACGCGCGCGCGGCTGGGGGTGGGGAGGGCGCGCGTGGGGCGGGGCCTGGGTGGGTCACGGGCGCCGGAGCAGCACGTGCTCGATGTAATTCTCCAGCTCCTCCTGCTCCTGCAGCTTGCGCTCCTCCGCGTCCGCCTCCTCCTGCGCACGCCTGGCCTGGGCCTCCAAGTCGGGATAGTGGCGCGAAGGTGACAGAGCGTGATGGAAGTGACGGCGGCGGGAGGATGCAGGGGGCTGCAGTGTCCGCGGCCGAATGTAGTTGGGAAAGGGGTGGTAGGGCCCCGGGGGGAACACCTCGTCCTCCTCCCGATCCCAGGGTGGGAGCACTTCGTTCCAGTCCGGCAGTTCCTCCCGAGCCGGGGCGGGGACGGGAGGTGGGGGCTGAGGGGAGCGGACGTGGGTGGGGACTGGGGCGGCCCGGGGAGGTGGCACCGGCTCGGGAGGGGCGTTCTTCTTCCGCTTCCGTTTCTCCTCCACCTCTTCAATGATGCTGACCACGTCGTCGGCTGGCAGGTGGAGTTTGGTGGACAGTTCAATAAGGCTATCGATGGTCTGCGGGTCCATCTCCTCATCATCATCCTCCTCCCCGCCCTCCTGTGCACCCTCAGCATCCTTCCTCCGATGGCCTGGCGTCTCCTCCTGGGAGCGCTTGTCCTCGGCGCCGGCTTCCCCGTCTTCCTCCTCCTCCGCGAACAGGAGTGCGTTCTGCCGCGCCCTCTCCGCCTCCTCCGCTTCTGCCTCCGCCTCCGCCGCCTCCTCATCCTCTTCCCCCCCCACCGGTTCCTCCCCGCCTCCACGTCTCTCCTGCTCCGCCTCCTCCCTCTCGCTCTCTCGCTCCTGCGGCGTCTCCTGCAGCCCCCGACCCCCGAGATCGCGCTGCCGGGCTCCGCCCTGCAGCAGATACTGTAGCAGCAGGTCAGAGGCAAGATCGGCCAGGCGCTCCTCTTGCGCGGCGGCCTGCCTGGTGGCCTCCGCCTGTCGCCTCCCCGCCTCTACCTGTGCCAGCCCTTGCTGGAGCAGACGCTCCCCTGCCTCGGAGCCGCCCAGGAGTGAGCCCTCCGGCCGGCGCGCCTTAGGGAAGGGAGCGCCCAGGCCTGGGTACGCCTTGGCTAGGGGTGCCAAAGTCTCCCCTAGACGTGTTTTAGGGGAGGATACTCCATCCCCGAATTGATGGGTTTCGGGAAGGGGAGCGCTCTCGGGTATACGCTCCTGAAATTGCGAAGGGACAGGGGGTGGCAGAGGAGCGCGCTCCGGGACGCGCGCCTGGAACTCTCCCCAGGAAGCGCGCCACACGCGCTCCGGCCCGGGGCTCTCCAGATTGACTCGTGTCAGCGTGTGCGTGCGTGTTTCGGTCTCCGCCGCCGCCGTCTCTTGCTGGCGTTTAGCATTACTCGGACTGAAATCTCGAAGTTCTTGCAGCAGCGATGCTAGCGCCTCTAGCTCCTCTGAGCGGCCCCCGGCCTCCGGATCGTTGTCCTGAGTCTGAGGGCGAGGCTGGGCCGCAGCGGGCGCTTGGGTCTCCGGTGCCGGGAGACTGTGCGTCTGGCTGCGCACGGTCTCGGTCAGCAGAGCTTCTGCTGCGTCTTCCTGCTGGGAACCTCCGGGGACCGCCGGGGGTGAGGCCGGGCGGTCCAACGCTTGCAACAGCACCGCGGCCAGCGCCCGGGGATCCACGCCCTGGAAGAGCTCTCCCGGGTCCTGCGACTCGGAATTCCGAGCGGCTCGGACCTCTGGGATACTGTCATCCTTTGGGCCAGACACTGCGGCCTCAACTACCTGCTCTTTATGCTCAGAGCCGAGAGAAGGAGGAGGAGGAGGATGCCCCTCGGGACGCCCGGGAGGCGCTGCCCCCAACCCCTGGATGAGAAGGATGCTGAAGAGAACACTTGCTGCCAACGTGAGGGTTTTCATGACCAAGGGGCTGCCAGAGACTGAAAAATAAAAGGAACCAAAGAAGGGATTTCTGTAAGACTTCCCCGCTAGCTATTTCTGCGTTCCCTTCCCCCACCTTTTAGCAGGAAATCCGGGGCTTCCCTCATTGCTCTAACCTTACCCAGAGGAGCCAACAAGGAAGATGTGCCGGTCTCTGGAGTCGTATAAATGGGAAAAGAACGCCCGAAACCCTCGCTGTGGAGACCCAGTGTCTCCTGTCGCCCCCTTCCCTAAGCCATCTCACAGCCAGCGCCCACGTACCGAGCAGCACGGATGGGGGGGATCTCTGCTCTCTCCCCACAGGGCTCCCCGGATGGTGCGTGGGCGACTTCAACAGCGACAGCAAAGCTGCGACTCCCCCCATTTACCAAGGACCCTTCCCGGGGGCACCCCGCTGTGTTTTCAACACCCCGGGAGAAAGAACCCTCCCTTCACACCCACGACGGGTGAGGGTTCAAGGGATGGATAGCGCAGTATTTACCAGCCGGTGTCACGACGGCGGGAGGAGGAGAGGGATGGTAGGGACAGGGGGAAAAGCGGGACCTGTCCGCCTCGGCTCCAATCGGTGGCTGGAGGTCGAGCGACGGTCGCGGGCTGGCGTCCTAGGAGCTGCGCTCAGCTGGATCTCCAACAGCGCTCTCGCTCCGGCTTCAGCACGCTGGACAGCGCCCGCGCCTCCGTCTCCTTATAAAGGGGAGCGCGCGGGGTCACGTGGGCTCGCCCCGCCCCAGTGACGTCAATGTTCATTCATGGGGAAGCGGGCGGGCCCCGGGTGGATGGAGGAAAACCAGTGATTGGACGATTCGCTTCGCTCCCGGCTTACGCCTGCGCAGTGGAGCCCTTGGCTGGAGGGGTGTGAGCGAGCCAAGCTCCGGGAAATGAATGAATGAATGAATGAATGAAATGCCGAGGCGGGAGGGGCAGGGGGCTATGAATGAATGAAGGAGGGACAAGGAGGAAAGGATGAATGAATGAATGGGAGAATGAATGAAAGGGTGGGTGCCGAGGCGCCAGAAGGCGGGAGGGTGGGTTACAAAGCTGCTTGCTGTGCAGAGCCCGCGTTGCTGAGCGCAATAGGAAGAGGGCACCGCCAGCATCTAACTGGGCGCCAGTAAGAGATCTATACTGGGCTGGTGGTAAGGGCTTGAAAGTCGGGGAGGGGGCCAGGCTCCCTATTCGGCCACAGTGCTATCTATAGGGAGCACGCCCAAGGACTGCTTGAACCTGAGAGAGGAGGGGTGAATCTGCGATGCGGGATGCCTGCCCAAGGCCCCCGCAGAGGGCTGGATCTTGCGGTTTGGTTAATCACCTTGGAAAGGGTCCGAATCGAAAGAGAAAAGGGAAAGATTGTCGATGTGTGTACCTCTGGGTCGTGTCTGTTCACGACCGGTTCGTGTCTGGAGGAAAAAAAAAAGTGTTTCTATCCGGTGGACTCTGCCTTGCTTGTTGGGGGCCCCTGCTGTGCCCCTTTTCAAACCACCTCTCCCCCACCCTTCTCCAACTTTTTTCCCTCCCCCCACTCCCCCTACCCAAGGACATTTGGAGGGCGAGACCAGACCAGGTGGGGAGGGGGTTGAGCAGGTGGAGAGGGTGACTCAACTCCAGCTCTCTCCATCGCTTAAAGGGGAAGTCTGAACGCGACGGGAGATGGGAGGGGAGGCGCTGCAACGTCAGAGATAGACCCTCTCAGCCACCAGACTCTTCGACCGTATCTCCTGCCCAGAGGGGTTGGGGCTGGGGGCTTGGACAGCTAAAGGTTCCGGGAGTGGGGGTCGATGACGCAAAGATTGCGCAGAAAATCTATCAGCCAGCCGGGTCCAGTGAAGGGAGACTAGACGTGGGTCGGGGTGGGAGGGGAGGACGGAAATGGGGAGGGGGTAGAGGAGAGGGAAGGGTGGCCCAGGGAACAGCTACTGCAGGAATGAAGGGGAGGGAGAGAGGCTGGAGGGGGCTGCGGTGCAGGCGGACAGCAATGCGGGGGTGTGGGCAGGGAAAGGGGGGGTGACAATGACACACCAGACACAAGAACTGCGGACACAGGAATGCTGGTGGGCACACGCTGGGCACCCGCACCCTCACACTTTGGAAACCAGGGGGTGTGGGTGGAGGGGCTCAGAGTCAGCTCCCTCCTCATCTCAACCTGATAGTGACCCTCGTTGTAAGCCCCCAGCGCACGGGGGGCGCGCGCGTGCGCGCGTGCACACACACACACACACACACACACACACACACACACTCACGTGCTTTCCCTCTATAGCCAGCAGTGGTTTCTCCCTTCTATCAGTGGCTTGACTTTCTCTGAAGAAACCCCAACAGCTCTGCAGAGAAAGAGATGAGTGGAGAGAGAGACACAGAGAGGTGGGGGGGCGGGAGATGGAGGAAAGAACTTGGAGCAGATAGAAGGAACAGGCTAAAGCAGAGAAGGAAAAAAAGACATGGAAAACCGAGGTGGCACTAGAAATTCCAAAAGATGAAGAGGAACTTGGAGACCCCCAGCAGCATCCGATGTTCCCCGCTCCATACAGCTATCCAGCACATCTATAGTTCACCCATTCCCTTTCCCCTCCACATGTCCCCTCATCTTCTCATCCTGGGTAACCAGGAGCAGTAGGATGGGGGGTGTCACATTACCTTCCTAAGGAAGATGAGAGAGTGAGGTTCAGACATCTGGAGAGGGGGGAGGGGAAGCCACAGGAGAGAGAAGGGGAAGAACCAAATGGGGACTGACTGATGGAATAAGGGGTCAAGCATGAGATCCAGGGAAAGGAGACAGGTACCTAGAGAAACTGTACACCTGTGAGTTTGTATGGGTGTGCAGACACCCATGTGTGCATGCACATATGTGTTTCTGTGGACAGATTAAAGAGACCCATAGCAGGGAAGAAAAAGTGAATCAAGTTGAGAATGGACGGGAATGGTTCCAATTTTAAAAGAGGAACCTTCTCTTCCAATCTGTACGACTTTGAGCTCATTTCTGGACATTTGTGTAGATCAAAGCTCTACATTGTGGGAATAACAGTACACCTCACTGAAGCCACTTACCTGCAGCCCCCAAGTCCTTGCCCCTGGTTTTGACTGCAGTCATCATTTCTCCATTACCACCCCTCCATCCCTACACTTATGTGGAAGTTCAGAAATTCACATCTCAAGAGCCTGGGTCATCATGATGCAGGGTAGGGCAAGGTAGAAGTCTGGGTACCAAAGACAACAGGCTTGGTGATTTCACTACATGGAGCTGGACCCTTTGTGTCTTTGTGGACATGGGACCACCCACACACACACTCCCCAGGGATGACCCATGCTTTTCATAACTCCTCTCCTTGTTGTATTTCTGTTGTTGTTTTGAGGCAGTGTCTCATGTAGCCCAGGCTGGCCTCGAACTCACTAAATGACTGAGGATGATGTTGAACTTCTGATCCTCCAGTCTCTTCTTCCCAGGTGCCAGGATTACAGGTGTGCCCCACCACTTCCAGTCGATGGGGGTGGTAGGGATCAAATCCAGGGTTTCGTGTATGTTAAGCAAGCACTCTACCAACCGAGCCATCTCAGCTCTAGCAGACAACTCTGCTGCCTCTACACAGAAAAAGCTCTAGACTAGGGGCAGGTTCCTGAGATGGAGGAGAGGAGGGAGACAGCAAGAAAGAAAAGGAGAGAGAGGGAGAGAGAGAGAGAGAGAGAGAGAGAGAGAGAGAGAGAGAGAGAAAACTGGGAAAAGCAGAGCCGAGATGGGGGCCTGGAGGGGACACCTGGTATTTGCTCCAAGTTGTTTGTGTGTGGAGCCATCTCCCTTGGTTTCTGTGTCTGAATTTCTCTCAGATTCCAGGAGAGCGCAAAAGGTGAGGTTAGCAGAGTAGTGATTAGAGTTGAAGGTTTGGAAAACCAGAGTAGGGGCATTAGGTCTTTTCCTGAGAAGGTGTGGGAGAGAAAGAGCAGGGGTTAGTCCCAACCCCAGCCCCAAGCTCACCCAGTCCCCTTCTTCTGCTCCCCCTCCCCCCAACCGGTGACTCACCTCTGCAGTTCATTTCGTCAGCCATTGGGGGAGGGGACAAGGAGGGAGAGGGGCACTTTGGACCAGGTTAGGGGTCTCCACTTTGAACTGAAAGAAGGTGCTAAAGACCCTAGAGAAATGGCCCAATTTACAACTCATTCATGCCTTGCTCCCAAGCCAACCCAAGGGTAGGAGGGAGGCCTGGGAAGGGAGCTGGAGAGAGGCGGGGCGCACTAGAGGGTCTGGAATAATGAATATTGGAAAAGATCTTAGAATATTTTTCATTCTGATTTTCAGTCCCAAAGTCCCATTCCATCAGACCCCCATCTACCCACTCCTGAGTGGGGGAGGGGAGACCCAGCAAGCCGGGGGAGGCCAGTGCCGCAAAGATGAGTCACCAAGCAAAGAGAAAAAGAGACAGAGACCGGAGAGACACACACACACACACACACACACACACACACACACACACAGACAAAGACTGGAAAGACCTAGAAACACACACACACACACACACACACACACACCATAAAGGTGATGGTCAGTAGAAAAGAAATTGTGTATCTCTATGTCTTCCTCCAACACCCTCCAAAATTCACCTGTCACACCAGACGACCTGCTATCTTACAGAGTTACACTAAGACTCAGAGACACACCCACTTAACAAACACAATGTCACATATAACTTAACACAGTCACCCAGACCCCATGCAATAGAGAACTGCACTCAGAGCCCTTATCTATTTTTCCCTCCAGGGTGGTGGGAGAGAGGTTAAAACCTCTTACAGAATGAGACTTCAAAAATCAAGATGCGGTTTCAGGGACCCACAGCCCGTACTGTGCAACACGCGACAATACATACAAGTCGTCTGCCTCCCTTCCCATCCACACGTATCCAGTAGCATTAAGCACCTTCCTCCTCCTCCTCCTCCTCCTCAAAAAAAAAAAAAAAAAAAAAAAAAAAAAGCCACTGGGGGTACCTGTTTCTGGGGGCTACATCAGGTATATTGTCCCGAATACATCCCACCCAGACATCCCTTGGGTCACACACATATGTACCGAAACACAGACACACAAAGACACCCATGGGCGCACTCACTCGGACGAGAACCACCTTGCGCTGCCTCGCCCGCGTCCGCACTTGTCCTGGCGCCCCCGTGTGGTCGTTTTGGGGATCGCAGTCTCCGCCGCTCAGAAGCTCAGCTCTCTTTGTGGGGGGGGCGATGCCCAGGTTTCGTCCACCTCCTCCCCTCCTCTATCAAGCGCTGCCCACCCAGAAATGGGGGGATGCCAGCGCAGCTAGAAAGCACAGTGCAAACAGCTAAGGGACGCCTAGATCCTGGGGCTAAGAGAGGCTGGTCTTGGATGACAGGGTGAATTTGGGAGACCAACCCATAAAATTTAGGTAGCAACAGATTCCCAGGTCCAGGGGAAAGCGAGGCTGGGGGCTAGCCAAGGCTCATTCTAGGAGACAAGCTTCTTTCTTCTGATCAGGGGAGGTGGGGGTGCACAATGGCCAGCAGCCCCCCCCCCCAAGAAGTCATTAGACCCATTGCTAAGGGGCTTGGAGATCTTCTGGAATACAGGCTGCTGGAAAAGTGGGGGAGAAAATGTGTGTCATTTCTACCCATGAACAAGAAGTGAAACACACACACACACACACACACAGAGGGAGGGCCAAAGATCCTTTATTGCCATACAGCCATAGTGGAAAGTGACCAGGAAAGTGACATGGTCAATCTGAGAAAGAACAGGGAAGCTGCGATGGCTGGCCTGGGGAAAACTGACAGCCATCCCCTTTTGCACACGTTGTTTACTCACCTCCTGGAGCCCTCCACTGCCCACACCTTGGATTCCATCCCCAGCACACTCTACACTGAAGATATCATTTCCCTAGCAACTGTTCATTTGCCCAAGAAGTTCAAGCTGACACCGGCTCCTAGAGCGAGACACCTTCTGCGCATGCTCAGGGCTTTTAGACCAACAAGGTTCTAGACTCTAATGTGGCTCCTGGCAACTGAAACTTAGAAATCAGTTGGGTCAGAGCCTGTTTTATCTCTCTGAACTCTGAGGAGATAGCACTCTACAAACACAACGGTGACTTCTGCTATTTAAGTACAAGGAATCTAGGCTGGGCTGGACAGATGTCTCAGTGGTTAAGAACATGCACTGCTCTTGCAAAGGACCAGAGTTCAATTCCCAGCATCCTCATCATGTGGCTAACAATCATCTGTAACTCCAACTCCAGGGGATCTGACGCCCTCTTCTGGCCTCTACAAGTACCTGTATGTATATGTGCATACTCAACAAAGACCTACATGGGTACAGTTAATTAAAAATAAGAGACTGGAGAAATGGCTCAGTGGTTAAGAGCACTGGCTGCTCTTGCAGAAGGCTCAGGTTCAATTCCCAAAACACATATAGTAACTAACAACCATCTGTAACACCAGTTCTGACACCATCTTCTGGTTTCCATGGGCATTGAACATACATGGTGTGCTTATATACAAGCAGGAAAAACACTCATACACATAACAATAAAGATAAATTTAAATTTTTTAAAAATTTTATTATGTGTTATATGTGTGTGAGTCTGAGCACATGAGTGAAGGTGCCCACAGAAATCCAAGATTGGAGCCCCCAGGATCTGGAGTTACAGGTGATAGTTAACTACCTGATATGGTCACTGGGGATCGAACTCCAGTCTTCTGGAAAAGCAATACATGCTCTTAACTGCTGAATCATCTCTCCAGCTACACACACACACACACACACACACACACACACACACACAATTTTAATAAAAAAGAGGCAGGAGAGATGGCTCCCCAGTTAAGAGCTCTGGCTGCTCTTGTAGAGGACCTGAGCTTGGTTCCCAGCATCCACATGGTGGCTAACAACTATAATTCCAGTTCCAGGGGATCTAATGCCCTCTTCTGGCCTCCACAGGCACTGCATGCATGTGGTGCAGGCAAAACATACATATAAAAAATAAAAATAAGTCAGACTGGTTGAGGTGGCACATGACTTTAATCTCAGTATTTGGGAGGCAGAGGCAGGTGGATCTCTACCAAATCTATATAGCAAATTCCAGGCCAGCTGGGGCTCAAAAAATCAATAATTAATTAATTTAATTAGATAAAAAAAATTTTGTCTTTTTTTTGAAACAGGGTCTCCCTGCCCTCTCTTCTGGCCTCCATGGGCACTGTACACATGTGGTAGACTTACATACATGCAGGCAAAACAATCATACACACAAAATAAAAATAATTACTAAAAAAAAAAAATTTAAATTGGGACTGGAGAGATGGCTCAGTGGTTAAGAGCATTTACTTCTCTTGCAGAGGACCTGGGTTCGATTCCCAGCACCCACATGGCAGCTAACAACCATCCATAACTCCAGTTCCAGGGGATCCAACACCCTCTTCTGACCTCCATGGGCATTTCACGGCACGGGTGCACTTACACACATACAGACAATACCCTCATACATATATATTAAAAAATTAAGTAAATAAATAAAATATTTAAAAAATTAAAATTAATATTTTTTTCAAAGAAAGAAAAATAACAGTGTTGTCATCATATAAATTGGAGGAAACCTCATTTTGGGAAATTGCCTCACCAAATGTAAACACAGGAGCTTTATAAATATGAGAGTCACCCAGAGGCGCTGTCCCACACCTTTAATCCCAGTAGGTGGATCTCTGTGACACTGAGGTCAGCCTGATACATACATAGTGAATTCTAAGCCATCTAGAGAGGTCCTTTCTCAAAAAAACCCAAATAATAAACAAATACTATCTGTCTTACACACTGGGTGGGTGATGAGGCTATGGGTATAGGACACTGGAAAACTAAGTGTTGGGGAGGTCCAGTGAGAAGGAGGATGGAGGGACAGAAAGAGGTAGCGATCTACAGGCACAGAAGCTGAAGGGGGCTTGGAGGTTGGGGGCTCTGACCCAGCTCTGGGCCTTTAGGAAGGGAGGGAGGATAGATAGAGCAACAGGCTTCTCCTAGCCAGGGCCTGGGTGCTGCCTACGGTTTCGCTTGCTTCCACCAGGGGGCATAAGGGAGAAGCCAGAACAGGCGCTAGCTAGCCTAGGGGTGGATACTGCCATTGGCGGAGAACTGCTCTGAAAAGGTCTTTCTTAGAACCCTACAAAGTAGGTAGCAGCTACACAAGGCACTCTCCCAAATATATCAGTTCAGGTGCGGGCATAAGCCAGGGCATTTAGGGATCCTAACAGCAAGAGACCAAGAAGTGAGAAGCTGGGGAGCAGTGTCCTGTAAAGGTTAAGAATCAAAGCTGAGTGACTGGAGAGGTGACTCCGCAGTTAAGAACATTGGCTGCTCTCCCAGAGGACCCAAGTTCGATTCCCAGCACCCACAACAAGCAGCTCACAGCCACCTGTAACTCTAGGGAATGGATGCCTCTGGCCTCCAAGGGCATCTACCTTAACATTCACACACACACACACACACACACACACACACACTTAAAAATAATAAAAATAAATATTTTTTCAATTTTTAAATTTATTTTTAAGTGTATCAACATTTTGCTGAAAGTTGTTCCCTCACCTCCTCCACATTCATGCAATGTCACCTGCGTGCCCACAAACACACACAAAAAAAAAACAATGTGAAAGCAATTTTAAAAGAATTAGCAGGGGCTGGAGAGATGTCTCAGCAGTTGAGAGCATTGGCTGCTCTTGTAGAGTACCCAGGGTTCAAATCCCAGCACCCACATGGCAGCTGACCACCATCTTAACTTCAGTTCCAGGAGATCCAACACCCTCTTCTGACCTCCATGGACATTGCATGACATAGGCGCACTTACATACATGCAGGCAATACACTCATACACATAGAATAAAAATAATAACAATAAAAGAATTTGTCTATCCAGGTGTTGGTGGCACAGGCCTTTAATCCCAGTACTAGGGAGGCAGAGGCAGGCAGATCTCTGTGAATGTGAGACCACCCTGGCCTATATAGGCTTCCAGGCTAACCAGTGTTAAATATTGAGACCCTTTCTCAAAAAGAAAGATGGAAGGGAGGGAGGGAGGGAGGAAGAAAAAAGAAAGAAGGAAGGAAAGAAAGAAAGAACAGGAGGTTGAGGAGATGGCTCCATGGTTAAGAGCACTTGCTGGTCTTCCAGAGAACCAGAGTTCAATTCCCAGCACCCATATCAAGCAGCCCACAATTGCCTGTAACTCCAACTCCAGGGGATCCAGCACCCTCTTCTAGCCTTCACAGGCACAACTCCCCCCCCGTACATGGCACACACATACACACATAAGTAAAAATTTTTAATAAAAAATAAATGAATCAGGGGCTGGAGAGATGGCTTCGCAGTTAAGAGCTCTGGCTACTCTTGTAGAGGACCTGAGCTTGGGTCCCAGAACTCCCAAGGCAACTAACAACCTTTTGTAATTCCAGTTCAGGGGATCCTATGACCTGTTCTGGCCTCCACAGGCATTTCATGCACATGTACACTTACATACATGCAGGCAAAATACTTATACACATAAAATAAAAATAAATAAAAATTTAAAAACAATTAGGAGAAATAAACATCTTTTTTAAAAAATTAAT